TTGGTGCAAGACAAAAAAAAGCCACAAAAAGCCACCCTCATCACAACCTTATTTTTTATGTAGAATGTGTTTCATGCAGTATAAAGATCCATTGTTATGTAACTTCTGGACCACCTGGTGTTCTCCATATCCTGTAGGAATTCATTTATCACAAATTTGCCCATTTATTGCTCAACAATACCTATAAATACTATAATCAAGGAGCATATAGGGAACATAACACATTCCAACTCATTTGCGATGTATGTGTTAAATGAAGATCTCTTTTCTTCTAAGTAAGTAAGTAAGTAAGTAAGTAAGCACTTTTTAAACAGGTGCTGAAGAGTGAAAATTAATTTGGAGATGTTTGAGAGACCCAGAGGAGATGATGCACTGGTAGATTTGGTGTGAGCTTATTGCCCAAAGGAATGATAGTGGCTAGAACCAAGTTTTATGATTTTACTACAATATCGTCTCTGTTCTCCTCAGAAACAAGCTATGATAGTGGAATTTTAGAATACTGTAGCTTGGTCCAAGGTCATCATTTAATTTTAATCTATGATATAGTCTCTCTCTTTGGCATAAACACCACCAGTAAGAATTGTTGGAGGAGAATAATTAGGATAATAGCAAGGGCCCTCGTCTGTGTATCGCTCTCCCTTGACGTTCACTTGTAAAGCTATATTTTGGCTCAGATTTAACCAGGATCACCTTTTAAAATAATAACTTCTACAGAATAACTTTTACTAGTATTGTGTTATACTTCAAGATGGAACGATTGAACATAGAAAAGGGTTCTGTCTCCAGGTTTTCTACTGTGGGTTTGTGGAAAGTGAACTGGTTTGCTAGGTTGAACAAGTCTTTTCGATAACAATGTTTTTGTAAAACTTTTTTAAAAAGTCTTCGACATGTAAGGAAGAGAGTCTGTATTTGACTCTTTGGGCCGAAAGCCAATTGGCTGAGCATGATTGGTTCTCTTTTTTTCCTTTTTCTGTCTGAAAACTCTGATCTGAAGATTTGACAGAGGCCAAAAATACAAGTATGTGAATGTTGAGAGCCTGAAACTAGTTCAATTTAATTTGATGTTATTACATGGTTCAATTAGTGGTTAGAAAGTTAGGTAACCCAGCTTTAAATTACACTAATAAGCTATGTCAACTAAATGTGACTATAATCAGTTAAAACAAACATACAGTAGGTCTAGTGCCTTTTTGTTTGTAAAGCTCATTGTCTGGACTCTTCAGCTCGACAGGATAGACCTCGTCCTCCTCCACTTGACAGAATGTGTGGGCCTTTGTTTGACGCGCAGCAAGAGAGTAGTCCTTATGTGAGTCACCATCTGTCTGAAAACCTACTCATCCCACTGCTGAAGAAATTAATGACATGAAAAAGCATATTATCAAACATAAGCACTGGGCAATTCTGATGAAGATTAAACTTTGAATAAACAAGAATATAAGATAAATATATTTACAGCTACTTGAATCTAATATCTTTGGAACCGCTCCGTCTTGTCAAAGAAACTAGCAACAGAAACGTGAAAAAAGGAGCCGTGTGAGTCTCTATTTGAAGTTTTGGGCAGACTGAGTGAGGGTGGTCTTCTCTTTTTCACTTTTCTGTCTGAATAAGCTGATCTAGGATGTGACAGTGGCCAAAAAAGATAGAATAATATGAAAGCTAGTACATCTCATGGAACAACTATACCGAGAGCTACTGTCTGTATGGATTTTGTAGTTGAATTTCATTACATACAGTGGGGCAAAAAAGTATTTAGTCAGCCACCGATAATAATGACAGAGGTCTGTAATTTTCATCATAGGGACACTTCAACTGTGAGAGACAGAATGTGAAAAAAAAATCCAGGAATTCACATTGTAGGATTTTTAAAGAATTTATTTGTAAATTATGGTGGAAAATAAGTATTTGGTCACTTCAAACAAGGAAGATCTCTGGCTCTCACAGACCTGTAACTTCTTCTTTAAGAAGCTCTTCTGTCCTCCACTTGTTACCTGTATTAATGGAACCTGTTTGAACTCGTTATCTGTATAAAAGACACCTGTCCACAGCCTCAAACAGTCAGACTCCAAACTCCACTATGGCCAAGACCAAAGAGCTGTCGAAGGACACCAGGAAAAGAATTGTAGACCGCCACCAGACTGGGAAGAGTGAATCTACAATAGGCAAGCAGCTTGGTGTGAACAAATCAACTGTGGGAGCAATTATCAGAAAATGGAAGACATACAAGACCACTGATAATCTCCCTCGATCGCAAGATCTCATCCCGTGGGGTCAAAATGATCATGAGAACGGTGATCAAAAATACCAGAACCACACGGGGGGACCTGGTGAATGACCTGCAGAGAGCTGGGACCAAAGTAACAAAGGTTATCATCAGTAACACACTACGACGACAGGGAATCAAATCCTGCAGTGCCAGACGTGTCCCCCTGCTGAAGCCAGTGCATGGAGGAATGGGCCAAAATACCAGCTACTGTGTGTGCAAACCTGGTGAAGACCTATAGTAATCGTTTGACCTCTGTTATTGCCAACAAAGGTTATATTACCAAGTATTGAGTTGATTTTTTGTTATTGACCAAATACTTATTTTCCACCATAATTTACAAATAAATTCTTTAAAAATTCTACAATGTGAATTCCTGGATTTTTTTTTCACATTCTGTCTCTCACAGTTGAAGTGTACCTATGATGAAAATTACAGACCTCTGTTGTTATTTTAAGTGGGAGAACTTGCACAATCGGTGGCTGACTAAATACTTTTTTGCCCCACTGTATAGTTCAATTGTATGCGGTTTAAAAGTTAGGTAGCTAGGCTTTAAGATAGTGTTAGGTATAGGAAAGACACGATAATAATTCAGCATCACATAACCTATATTTACGACAAGATGAATTATCCTGTATAGAGAAAGAGGATTTGTTTTCAAAGTAAAGAAGACATACGGCGGAAGAGGAACCCAACCCCATGGGTTTTGGTTCATATATTTCATACAATAATTTATTAACAATATCTGTACTATTACTGTTGTTTATTCTGGTCATATCTGATGCTAAAGTACAGTATGCACATCTGTAAATAACGTACCTCCGAACCAAGTGCAATTATAGGTCAAGAGTTTTAATTTATTCTATTTTATTATCTTAACCCTCAAATAATAGATCTTGTTTCATGTGTTCAATCTGAGTGCTCTTATTTCCTACTTTTTTATTCTACTGTAATGTGCTCAACGATGACACTGAAATTTCCTCACTGTGGCATGAATAAAGGTCTATCTTATCTTATCTCATCAGACCGTGTAATAATTTAACTACAATCAATAATATTTCACAATAAACACTGGTAATAATACAACTGCAATCAAAAAGAATATGGACCTCGCAATAACAATCAGTCTGGTTATACGGGAAACGTGTTCTCAGCAATGAGAGGCACAAAGGTTACAATTATTTCTCAAACACACTGAAAATGGTCACTTTCAAGCCGATTATGGTCGTGTTTTGTGTTTAGATAATCATTCAAAACATGTACTTATATCTGTGTGTCATTTTGTACTGTTTGAATACACATTTGGATGGATTGATTGATTGTGATCCTATTTCAGACCTGCTTCATGCAATCTAGTCCTGGTTATTGTTTATCTCTAAGATGTAATTCTGTAATTAAAATGTATACCCCTTGATCTATTTAGGTCAAAGAGAATATTAGCTCTTTGTGTCCGTCTGTGTGAGTGGGAGTCTCACAGTCACATAAACAAAGCAGAAGAGACAACAAGTTGTGAAGGCATTTGAGCTAAAGATGAAATTTAGCAGGTTTTTGTCCTTTATCCTCAAATATACAGTATTAGCTTGAACTGGTCTGAAATGACTGTTTTATGGTTAAACTGCACCTGAAACGACTGAGGATGCATGTTTTAGACATTTATGGTTATGAACCTCTGTTGAACCTTGAATTCTTCTGTTGAACAATCATCGGCAATATTTCTTTTTGAAACAAATTTTAATTTCCCTTTACCTCTCCTGTATCTGTAATTCTACAAACATATTTTTTGTCTTCCACTACTGATGATTGGATGATTTTTAATGATGATGTGTGTGTCTAATTCTACAAGCACTTGATCCCCTCGAGGTCCCCTTTTTAGGTTGTTGTGCTTTTCTGGGAATTTCAACAGCTAATGTAGTCTAATAAATCCTCTGAGCGTTGAGCAGGACAATGCTAATGTGCATGTGAGCCCAGATTAACAGCCATTTGGATAAAAAATTATGGATTCCCAATTATAAGCCTGCATTTGACTAAAAGCGTCCGTGCTTTTAATAACTATTAATAGCTGTTTGTGCAGCTGGTGAGCCATCAGGCATGTTTCAACAGCAATGATATGAAGATTAATTGGGTTTTGATTACACCATTTCAACAAATGTTTTTTTTAGTACTATGGACATGATAACATTAAATAACTAGGTAATATGAGGGTAGATAGGGGTTAGGCACACAAACTAGAGTATATTTACTTTTTATTCCTACCATCCTGTAATCCGGTTATCTTATGCTATTGACTGCAAAGAAAGTGTCCACAGTCACGTCATTCCCCTCAGCGATCAGCTTCTGTAAATATCTGGGTGTGAATATAGATGTAAAGAAAAAAGTAGGTGTGGGAGTAAAGTTGTTATTATTATTATTCCCTGTTATATACTACACTCAACGATCCCTGGGGCTCTTGACTTTACAGAAACCTGTACTTCATCTGAACATGAATCACTTCTACTCCTATGTCTCAAATTTCCCAACAATGCATGACAGACAACAATATTTTCAAAAGTCACTGTGAATGTGTGGAATCCCTGGTTGTTTGTGATCTCTCAAACAACCTCAATCTCTAGAGAAAGGAGATGCGCCAAGATCTCAATGAAGTAGTGTTACGGTTAACAAGGCCAAACGTGACTGTGCCAAACTTGTGACGGTCTAATTGTTTTTGAAAGGAGATAAATATTTTTGTCCTTGTAGGTGAAATATGACAGCTGCGGCGGGTGTGCTCACCGGACTGGCCAAGCTGAAACGCCAGGATTCCTGCCGCTCTCAGCACAGACCACTCTCCGCAGCTTTGGGCGGCCCTGCTCCCGAGTCGGCACCAAGGTAAATCAAGACGATATGTATGTCTCATCAGACCATTTTCTTGTGATAATTTAAAAAAAAACAATATATCACCATAAAACACCCAAATGCTTTTAGTTTTTCCCCCAGTAAAACCTTAAAAGGTCATTCTGGTGCAGGTCAGAATTTTATTGCATGTTAGTAATTACAGCAACAAAAATATCAGGAAATTGTATTATTTGCAAATCAAACTTAAAGGGGATGTCAGCAACTTTAATAGTACTTCTAGAAATAATGCATATTTTTGACCATATGACCATGTAATATAATGTAAATAAAGTAATGTATTTGAAGTGGTAAATACATTACTACTTGGCAAAACAACTAACAGTAAGATTTGCTGGAGGAGAATAGATCGACCAATGGCAAGAATTAAAATTAATTTTGTCCAATCAGATGGAGTCTTGTAACATTTTCTTATTAGAAAGCAATATATCTGTTACATACCGAGAGCTGATTGGCTGATCAAGGGCTGGTCCTCTCATTTTCAGATTTAAAGATGTGACAGAGGCCAAAAACACATGAAAGTGAAAAGTAGTTATTGAACCAAACCGTTTAGAGAGGTCGGTACGAGCTACATGGATTTCACAGTAATTGGTGAGTGGTTTCAGGGTTGGTACTCCAGTAAATTTTTAATGCACGCTAAGTTCCTCCTTAAAGCCTTCAGTCGTGGCACTTGCTTTCATGGAGTCAGACAGCATGTTCCTCCATCTATATTCAAGAAACCGATTGTCAAAAAGCGAGTGATGGAAAGGTGTGTTACAGTCACACAGAGAAGCTATTATTGTCGGTCCCATTACCATGCAACAACTCTCAAAATCCTTAAAACAGCCAAGAGACATTTTCAATTATTAAACCTCGACTCGTTACAGTTGGAAACTTTTCAAAGCTCAGAAGATAACTAATTATATCACAGTGATGGTGCATGAGAAGCTTTTTAAATCTTTAAGGACTTTTTATACATTGACTCTAAAGGTCAAGCTGCAGTTTCCGCAGCCACTCCAGAAACTGCATCCAAGATGAGGTCAAATCGGTCTGAACTTAAGCAGACTATATTTGTCATTGTCTTGATACATATATTTTGAAATTCAAGTTTGAGTTTAACGTGACTGTGAGGTGACCCTTGAATTTGTAGTTCCACAGTATACCATAAACACATATAACTTGTGTGATACCTGAAAAGCTGAAAAAAACGATATCCTAGATCAGGGGTCTCCAACCTTTTTCGATTGCAGACCTACTTTTATAAAACAGAAATGGCAGAGAGCTACTCTTTTAGCTCTATATAATAACTATAGCCAATCATAAAGACCACACATGCAAAATGTACCATTATACTCCACAGTATCCATACATCAATGAACATTAATACATAAAATAAACAAGAAATTGCTCAAAAGTAAGTCATTCAGGATCAGGTTTAAAATTCTTGAATCCAGCCTGAAAGGAGGTAGCGATACTGGTAGCTTCCGAGCCACAAGTTGGAGACCCCTATCCTAGATTATAAAAAAGGAGAAGAAAGAATTATGGATGTGATTGCGAATTGTACTGAATTGAACCAAAAGTTCTTTAATGTGCATCTGGAAACCCTCTTCACATTTGTGTCCATGCAGAAAGAGGAAACGCAGAACAGATGTGGTGATAGTTCGGGGACGACTCCGACTGTACTCTGCCTCCGGGTTTTTTTTGCTTTTGGGACTGGTGATTTTGGCCGCTGGGATTGGCATGGCAACGCTTGGTTACTGGCCGCACGGAGACAGAGCGAACACAGCCAAAACTTGGTCAGGAGGAAGGACCAAGCCCGAGGGGAGCCCAACATCTGCGACGCAATATGAAATAAAAACCAATGTGTCGGAAGGAGCTGGATCCAACTCAAGCATGCGGGAACATGGAGGTGAAAAGGGTTTGGAGTGTGTACCAACGTAGCTATTACCATTTAGGGCTGAAATTTTCAATTACTTCGCTATTTGATTAGTTAGATGATTATTCTTTTAAGTAGGCTTTGCCATATGATCAACAAGTATAAGATTTGTTATATAACTTACAATGTACAAGCGATAAAGATGACATACATTTGGGCTGGTTTATTAAAAAGGCTCGACCCGAGTCATAAAACCTCTTCTCGGGGCTTTAAAGACTATGTAAGGTTCAAATAATGATTGTCTATTTCTAGTAGTAATGGAAAACATAAATGTCCAAATTATCAGTATTTAATCCAAAGGTTTTCATTTAATGAGTTGGATTAATTGTCTCATGGCTGATTCTATTGTACTATTGGTACAACTCAAATAGGTACTACTGTACCTTATTTGATCTTAATTACTGGGTTCTCTATCAACATCTGAAGATAATGGGGTGAAAGGGGGCCCAAAGATCTTCACACAAGACACATAAGAATGAAAAATTGCTGTTCCTCAAAGTCCATCCATCCATCTTCTACCCTTTAATCCATTTCTGGGTCAGTTCCTGGGTCAGTTCCTCAAAGTTTGTTCCATAAATACTGTTCATGTTGTTTGTCCCAACAGAAAGTGAAAATTAGTGATAGAACTGTTAGAACCAGGAACCAGCTTTAAGTAGGGATGCACCAATGCGTCGGCTGAACATCGATATCGGCCGATATTTGCCGAAGGTAGACGAGTGTGAAGAGATCTGGTAGAGGGCGTCCGCGCACTTTCCTCAGTAGAAGAAACAGAGAGGACGGCAGTGGTCGTGTGGCAATATTTTACAGTATCAGAAAAAGATACTGTAGTTATCTGTAGTTAAAGTTATGTAGTTTGTGTGACGGAGTCATTGCTTTCCCCCTGTCACTAGGCCCTAGTTGTGTGCGCGGTCCTTTCACTCTCCCCGGTTTGAGGAGTGCGCACCTGCGCAGAAAGCAAGATTCCCCTGATAATATTTTTTTTGTATTTTTTCTGCAATTTTGTAGAATCTTCTGAAGAGGCAGCGAGTCTTCTGAAACACTTCTTGGAGCAACATCGTCACTCAGAGAGGATGAAGATGTTTGGACCCTTCACCATGGGCATTGGGATCTTTATTTTCATTTGCGCAAATGCCATCCTCCATGAAAACAGGGACAGGGAAACAAAGGTATTCAAACAAACATCAGTCAATGAAAAAATAATGATTTATTCCCTATTCTAATTCAGACAAATACTCAGGGCACATTGAGGTCATCTATATTCATCACTTCTACATGATAACACGCAGATCCACTTTCCACTTCCACCTATGCTTCCAATTTTCTTCTGATCACATCTTCCATGCTCTGCTGCCCTCTACTCCTTCATCTTGATTTCATTAATGCTTGCCTGAGTGCTTATCCACTCTCCTGATAATGCAAATGAGAAGCTAATACACAAGTGACGCAAACACTATATAGTCCCATATATATGAGCCCACCCAGAGCATGCAAATTAAGAGATAACAAATGGACTTACCAGGCTGTCTGAGCAAATCTAATATTAAAACAAATGGACCATGGATAAAGTCCTGAGGTTTGCTTTCAGTAATGCATATGAATGTCATTGACATTCATATATGATATTGTGCTAAAAGCTAGAGTATGTTAATTCTCTAATTTTCTAAATCCATGAAGTAAGAATGTACTGGACCCTGGAAAGGCAAACAAATGGCATTATAAATCAGTAGCAATATACGTTGCTGAGTAAGTTACTTACTCAGATAAAAAAGAATGTAGTTGTGCATCTGTCCTAGAAGAAAAAGTGTCAAACTTCAGCCTAACCCTTATGGTCAACGAAATAGTCTATAGTATTTTCTTTTGGATTCTGTTTTTTCTTTTTTTTTCTTTTTTATTGATTGTCATGTTGACAAATGCCTGAAGTAAAATAATAATAAACATGAATAAGAGAAAGACTAGCAAGAAACATGTCAGGAAATGTTTATGGGAAGTCAGGTAGCTGAAAAGAAAGCTCAGAAGCTCATGAACAAACTCTACTTTGGCACCTGAAGTGTTAACTCCCAAAAAAGTCCAACTGCATCAACAGTTGCATTTATACTCCCTGTGTATGAAATATAAATAACACCAAATGTTGCTGTGTGCTTCAGATCATCCACATGAGGGACATGTACTCCACAGTCATCGACATCCACCGCCTGCGGCAGAAAGAGCAGAAGCAGCAGCTGCACCGAAACAGTGTCTATGCGCGAGAGGCCTTCAGCGACAACATCAGCCTGGCTCGCAACTCGCTCCTGGGCTTTGCGTCTCGCTCAGCGGCAGGGTCGGCAGAGGAGGAGGAAGGGCTGCTGGGGGAGGAGGATCAGGCCAAACTGGACTGTAGTTTCGCTGGACTTCTAGCTCCGCTCTACAAGGACCGGCCCTTTTATCACCCAGGGCTAGGGCACGCCGACTCAGTGCGGCATCATTGGTCGATGGACGGAGACGGGGAGAGGGGAGGACACCACGCGCGTTCCATCGTCACCTCGTCCATCTCCGCCTTCACGTTGCCAGTGATCAAACTCAACAACTGTGTCATTGACGAGCCAGAGATGGAGGCAATCACTGAGGAGGACCGAGCAGAACGCGGGGATGAGCGCTTGCATGCTTTTGCCTCCATGGAGTCTCTAGCTGTCCCTGTTGCCACGGTCGCAAAGGCATCCAAACTTCCCGGCCTGCATCGAAGCAACTCGGCCACCTCTTCTTCAGCCTCCACCCTGTCCCCTGCCCCGTCCTCTACCTCAGGCTGCTGGCTTTCTCCTGGAGTGGCACGCAGCGATTTCGGCTCAAACTCCTCTCTGCACATGCTCAGTAGCCACTCCAAATCACTGGACTTGGAGCGCAGACCAAGCTTGCTCAGTGTGCACCAAGAGCAGAGGAAGCACCCGAGCTGGCCGCGCCTTGACCGTAGCAACAGCACCCGCAGCAGCAGCAGCACCCCCAGAGGCAGCAATAAGGGTTACTCACGATTGGACAACAGGGAGGACCTCGGCGAGTGCTTGTTAGACATTTCGGCGGCCTCAGCAGCGCGTCGTGACTACAGCAAACGAGAAAAACTGCTCATGATATCCAGGTCACATAATAATCTAAGCTTTGAACACGATGAATTCAACAACAGTAAACTAAAGCGGGGCAGCTCTGAGACTCGATTCTGAAACTTTAACCGAGAACAAAAGACTTTTGAGAGATTTTAGGTGCTGTTTTGTAGCTACCCCCAGACTTGTGACTTTGTATTTCCCAAGATGCCTTTAGGGAAGTTAGTATGGCCTGGCCACCAAATATCTTTGGATTAAAATGTCTTTTCTTCCAAGAGTGCATGGCAATTTCTCCAGTTTTGTCAATAATTATTCAGACTCTCTTGGTTATTGACAGTATTATTTTGAATTACTTTCTGCCAATTTGGATGTGTGAAAAGCTTGTCTGAGACTGATAAGGTAACAACAAGGGTGTTTTAGGTCCTCAGATTGTAGTTGACTTTATTACTGTATTGATGAGAGGGGATGTCTGTCAGGAAATACTTTGAATGATTACTGTATGTACTGTACGCGCAGACGTATTAAGGACAAGGTCACTATCACATAAAAAAAGAGGTGAGATCAATTGAACATTTTAATAATAACAGTGAAGCTGTGAAATGTGCAGTAAAAAATGGCTACTTATGGTTACTTAAAAATAAAAAAATAAAAAAAAACAATTCCTCTATTGAAACATGGACAGGAGAAGCCTACGCATTTTCTGAAAGGTTTGATGAAATTGTGGCTACATCAGCAGAGACTTTTAAAAGGAAAGTTACTTGACTGAAGGCAATTGAATAAAATAGTACATAATACAAAAAAATTATATGCACTCTAAGTTCCTCCTAAAGCCTTTGGTCGTGGAGCATGTCGTCATAGAGCATGTTCCTCGGTCGAGGTTTTAGAAGGCTGATTGTCAAAATGATTCAGATTGGATTGTTGGCTTCTTGATATATTTTAAATTACTTTCTGCCATTTTGGATGGTTGAAAACCATTTGTGAGACTAACAAAACTAACATTATTTTTGATCTTCAGGTGGTAGTGGACTTTATACTGTATTGATGAGAGGAGTTATCCGTCAGGAAGTATTAAATGTATGTGCAGAATTATAAGAATTACTCAGGATAAATGATGGCTAATTTTTTACTGTTTTCATGGACCTAAACATAGTTGTATTGAATATACATATGTGCGTGTTAGGATATATAGAAACACCGCTTTTTGTACACTTCCCTGTTTTACCAGCAATCCCAAGCAATCAACCTTGATTTGTTTGAAGAAGCTGGCTGTTTCTGAATCCATAGAGTTGGAAAGAATAGAAGAAATGTGACAGGAGATAGTTTATTTTACAAACTACTACAATTTCAGTTCATTTTGTCAGCTTCTATTGTGTACTGTCACATCTGCAATTGCAATTAGTAGCCTTTTCTGTGCTATCTCCTCCTCATGGCATAAACAGAACTGTCTTGTTATTCAAAACGTGACATAAAGCATGCTGAGTGTGTTCCCACGCAACACAACAGGTGCGCGGCACTCGGCAGCGGCTCTTTCAAGGGGAAACCTCGCCGGAAAGCCTCATTAGTGGTTCCTATGTACAAGTTTATCATGTCTTAAAATAAAGTGTATTTTCAATGAACCTGTTTATATCTGTGCTAATTTCTGGACTGCCCTAAACATCATCCCGTCATTCTTGTTTTCTTATAATTACTTGTTGTTATTATTATTGTTATTATAATTTCATCTTCATCTGACTTTTGTCTATAGGTGCACAACTAACAAATATTGCCTTCATTCTAGACATGGAGCCTGTGTAGATAATTTTCAATCTTCAAACCAGCTGAACCATATAGAATCAACTGTTCAGTAAATTAGAGGGAAAAAGCTAATACATGAATATTTGGGAAATCTTTGGCATCTTGCACACAGTAGTCATGGCATTGTAGTAATACCATAATGTGCCTGGCCATAAAGATAATTATATACAAGGAAAATGGCCAGTACAAAAAACACAAACAATAACACACAAGTCATTAAAGATACAGGTGATCGGAACAATTAGAATGTCTTTCAAACTTAAGAAAATATCTCTAATTTAACTTGTGGAAGCCATGAACCCAATACATGATATTGACTCATTATGCAAAGTGACCTGTATTGCCCCTTTGTTTGTAATAATGTTGATGATTAAGGCTTACAGTCCATATTTGAGTTTTCTGAAATGTTTCATCTTCACCATTATATCAAAGAAGGCATGATATATCTCTCTTTGTGTGTACTGACTCCGTCATATTAGTATTTACATCGTAAAGTTAATGGACTTTTGAACAACATTCTTACTTTCTTACTTTATTTCGACACAAACATTTGATAAATGAACAATATTGAACAAGGAACATGTTCAAACATATCTCAGTGCAAAAACAGCAAAAAGAGTACTCGGATGATCCATGGAGCATGACTATCGGTCTGCCTTAATAAATTGAAGATATTCTGGCAAACCGTCCGGCGCCTCAGGAGGGGGAAGCAGTTCTTTGCCAACACCGTGGACGGTGTTGGGCGAAGAGCTGCTGACCTCCACTGGGGATCTTGTCGGGCGGTGGAAGTAAGGAACATGATATTAAGTACAATAGTTCGAAGAGTGTGGTTATGATTTCTAAAACCAAGGAAGATAAGAACCTGACATTTCCTAACTTTTGTTTGTGTAATGATGTTTTGCATGTTGTCACCAAAATCAAGTACCTCGGGCACATCATCACTGAGGACATGTCTGATGATGATGACATTTACAGACAATGCAGAGTGTTGTATGCCCAGGCTAATACCCTGGCACGGAAGTTTGGCTGTTGTACAGAGAGAGTGAAGCTAACGTTATTTAAAGCGTACTGTACTCCCTTATACACAGCTCATCTCTGGTCTCATTATAAGAAAGCCAGCATGCGTAAGCTCCAGGTGGCCTATAATGATGCTTTGCGTGTGCTTTTGAAAAAGCCGAGATGGTCAAGTGCCACAGAAATGTTTGTTAATGCCAGAGTGAACACTTTACAGGCCGTGCTACGAACTTTGATGTACAGCTTTATGTGTCGATTGAACACGTCTGAAAATGAAATAATAGTGTCCCTCACGAATATAAAATGGAGTGCGACACGGTATCAATCTGACTTGTGGAAACATTGGCATGGTTGTCTTTTTAAAATGCCATTTTAATTGTCTGTCTTGTGCTTTATTTTTTATTTTATTTAATTGTATTGGACTGTGAGTCCGGAATAAAGTTGAATTGAATTGAAATTAATACTTCAAGGTTCTCCTCAATCCCCCCGTCACGTCCTCCAGAACGGAGGCAGAGGTTGAGGATGTTGGGGCAGATACCTCCATCTCCCTAGCAGAGGTCACCAAGGTGGTTGGCAGCCTCCTTGGTGGCAAGGCTCTGGGAGTGGATGAGATTCGCAAAGACTATCTAAAGTCTATTGTAGGACTGTCTTGGCTGACATGTCTCTGCAACATCGCGAGGCGATCGTGGGCAGACCGGGATGGTGGTCCCTCTCTACAAGAAGGGGGACCAGAAGGGTGTGTTCCAATTATTGTGGGATCACACTCCTCAGCCTTCCCGGTAAGGTCCACTCCAAGGTACTGGAAAGGAGGCTACAGCCAATGGTCGAATCTCGGATTCAGGAGGAGCAGTGTGGTTTTCATCCCGGCCACGGAACACTGGACCAGCTCTATACTCTCCATCGGTTCATTGAGTGTTAATGGGAGTTCGCCCCCAACCGGTCCACATGTGTTTGTGGATTTGGAGAAGGTGTTCGACCGTGTTCTCCGGGATGTCCTTTGGGGGGTTCTCCAGGAGTACGGGGTATTCTGCCTTAGGGCCTTACGGGCCCTGTATGACCGGAGCCAGAGCTGCGTTCGCATCAGTAGTAAGTCAGACCATGTTGACCTCGGCCAGGGCTGCCCTTTGTCACCGGTTCTGTTTACTGTGTTTATGGACAGAATTTCTAGATGCAGGAGGGGTCCGGTTCGGGGACCACAGGATTTCATCTCCGCTTTTTGCAGACGATGTTGTCCTGTTGGCTCCGAGGTGCCTTGCCCTCTTCAGGTGGGTGGAGAGGTCCTTCCTCAAGGAGTTCAAGTATCTCGGGGTCTTGTTCACGAGTGAGGGAAGGATGGAGCGTGAGATTGACAGGCGGATCGGTGCAGTGATGCGGTCGCGGTGAAGCTGAGCCGAAAGGCTTTGGGCTCCCCCCTGACAAACTGGAGTAAGTGTGTGTGGATAGGGAAGTCTGGGCATCTCTGCGACCCGGCAACGGATGAAGCGGAAGAAAATAGATGGATGGATGGATTTAACTCATAGGAAATAGACTAAATCAAAGAGCAAGTAAGCACTAATTTTGGAATTATATAGTATGCTGGAAGCACACTGGCTTGATTCAACAGGTGGCCCTTTTAGTTGATGGTGACATAGAAAAACTTGACAATAATAGCAAAAAATTCCATCGAACACAGGTGCATTCCACATGCGATTAGAACAATTTTCAACAAAACTAAGTCCTTCTGTCCACATATGTGGACATCATGTTTAGCAGTCCAGACAATTGTTTTTAAATTGTAATTATTGTAAAATGTACATGCCATGACAAACTTACATCACTTATAAAACTATCTGAACAAGAATAATCTTTGAAATCGGATTGGAATTTTTACTTGGTGGATTTTTTGGTTGGGAACTTGCATGTGAACTTTCCTGTGCGCGGTCAGCCATTTTGTTTTGTGTTAGCTTGTGCTGTAATTCCTCCAACACTGCTAGAGGGCAGTGTAGGTATTGCTGTATGTGGACCCCAGGCCCCAATAAATCAGGATGAAGTATTATGTTTGTACAGCCCAAAATGTGATGTCCACACATGTGGACGGCAGGTCTTAGGAGGTTAACTGATAACAGTAGTTCAGCCGAGATATTTGATCATCAAAATTAGTTTTACGACCCGTAAAAGTTGTTATTGTTTTGATTTTGATGTCCTACCCTCCGCCGTTTCGCCAATCAGGAAGTGTCATGTAAGTCAGTGATCGAGTTGCCAGAACTCCGCGCGGCTCATTAATCTCAGTGGTAAAATAACATGTGGCGTAGAACTAAAAAAGGTCTTGTTAT